TTTATCCAAGAACTAATTCTAGTGCATAAGTCAAAGACTAACTGCATTCCAATCCATTGATTAGTCTCTACTATGCAAATTAGGTTGTTGATAGTCTATAAAAATACAGACTAATACAATTCTTCATTGCAGTTATTAGGTGATAATAGATTGGTTGTTCTTAACTGATTGAGTTCTTCATCCTGAAATGTGTTTTTTACGTCTTGAAAATAAGAAAAAAAAAAAAACATCTGAAAGAACAAGAGAGCAAGAGTTTCCTTATTTAATTCTTGGTGTGTGTGTGTGTGTGTTTATATTCTAAGAAGACTACCAAATTGGAGGTTCAGGTGAAAAGTACTGCATCCTGAGGCTATCTTAATTTACATACCCAGACCTTACTCAGCAGGATACTATAAAGAGTGAAACTATAGCTGGGTCACATTAAGCTGTTTTTGAACAATTTGTCATATATATATAACTCTAGCATGCTTCCTCTATCAGACACCTGGTATTATTATTCTTTTTCTACTGCATTGCTGAAAACATGCATTTGACTTGCAAGTGAAATGGCAATCAACTTTCATGACAATCTTGTTTTCTCAATACAAATATAGGAATGAACAGATTATTATTTCTCCTGTCACTCTGTAAACGTCAGATTGTCTTTTTTTTGTATGAATCCTCTTGTTAGACCAGATTACACGTACAATTCACTTTTCCTATAATAAGGTGACCAACTTTTTTACAACAAAAAGGAGGACACGAATAAATTTAAGAAAAAAATATCGTAAATAAAAGAAACATTGTATTTATTGCAACAATAATACAGAATACACTATAATATGATAAATGCATAATAAAAAACATTTGTAACAATAACATTTTATATTGTAATTATGCTTACATGCCTATTAATTATTTAAATGAGTACTTTTCCATTGAATGAATATTTTTTGTCAATGTATCATCTTCTAACAATATATTGGAAATATCTGAACAAGAAATATCCTTCATATTGAATTTTACGGCAAGTGCTGCAGCTAGAGTATCAATATTCCATCTCGATTTCTCACTTGTCCCAAAATCTACACGGCTGGACTGCGCGGGGGTGGGCGGCGGAGGCAGGTGTTGTGAGCCAGGCGCTCCAGGAGGGCCATGTATATGCGCAGGGTGAGGTGGTGGCAGGGCAGGTCAGCACTGCGTAGACCACCAGCTGGTGCAGCCCATGGAAGGTCAACTGCCCACCGCGCCCCCGCCCACAGCCGTCCCGCCAGCACTGCTGCCCTGCCGTGGAGAGCCGGCCCTACGGCTCGCAAAGCACCAGCTGCGCCAGCTCCGGCCCTGCAGCCACCCCCCAGCACCACCATCCACCCTGCGCATCCCAGTAGAGCCGGCCCCGTGGCTTGCAAAGCACCAGCCACGCCGGCTCTGGCCCTGCAGCCGCCCCCCCAGCTGCCCCCCAGCACCACCGCCCCCCCAGTCACCCCCAGCACCACTGCCCCCCCTGCCCATCCCCGTAGAGCCGGCCCTGCGGCTTGCAAAGCACCAGCCGCGCCGGCTCTGGTCCTGCAGCCACCCCCCCCAGCCGCCCCCCAGCACCACTGCCTACCCTGTGTATCCCCACGTAGAATCGAACAGGGAAGATCAAATGAAACTTACCGCTCCAGTCTCCTCCACTATCTTTGGAACTAAGAAGTAGGAGATCGTGTAGTTGGGTAGCAGTGAGGGGTGCAAGTTCCTGCAACTTGCACGTGCAAAGTTTTCCGCCCGGGTGTTTTGGCACGCTCAGCAGCAATTCCTATTGGCTTTCGAAAGCCAATAGGGGGAGTAGATGCAAAAGTTGAAAAAAAAATTTAAAAAAAGGTCCCGGAACGCCTTCTGAGCGTTCTATGAGGAAACAAAAGCCCTGCAGATTAGTCGTCAAAAAGAGGACATTTAGGAGGACATTTTTGAGAGAGGACAGAACTCACAAAAGGAGGACTGTCCTCCCAAAAGGAGGACGGTATGTGGAAAAGGAGGACATTTAGGAGGACACTTTTCAAGGGAGGACAGAACTCAAAAAAGGAGGACTGTCCTTCCAAAAGGAGGACAGTTGGTCACCTTACCTATAATAGCCAGCAAGCTTCTCTGGGAAACTTGGAAATACAACAAACGCTGCTCAGTATTGAACAATTAGGCATACTATATACCTCTTGCTAATACCCATAATAAAAGTAGCTTGGCTGACATTTGGTAGACTGTAAGGGTTATTTACAAATTAATATAGGCCCTAATCAGGAAAAAAGCCTTCCTTATGGCCATGTTAAAGCCCTATCTGTCTTTAAACTGGTAAAATTTTATACCAGTGTAACATTTGCTAGGCCCAGTGATGCAAGGATACAGAGTTGACAAATAAAGATATCTTTATTTCTGATGTATGGAGTACATCAACACCAGAAACTGGTATATTCCTCTGGCTTTGTAGTCTTCCCAACCCACCACCAACCAGCAGATATGGAGAAACACCTACCAGTCAATCCCATTAACATGGGATGGGGTAGTTTTGACAGATGCCTAAACCGGATGCCCAAACTGTCTAAATTGGTATAATTATTTCACATGGATTGATCTCCTTTTAGAGCAGTGGTTCTCAACCTGTGGGTCGGGACCCCTTTTGGGGTCGAACGACCATTTCACGGGGGTCGCCAAACAACGCAGTCCACCATTTTCCTCCCATTTTCCTTAGCTGTGTGCTACTCCCTTTTATTCTATTGGCTTTTGAAAGCCAATAGAATAGACTCTCTTGAATAGAGTCTAATTCTATTGGCTTTCAAAAGCCAATAGGAATTGTCCAGGCTGTCTCTGCCCTGCTGAGCCCGCCAAAAGTCCCATTCTGCAAACGGTGCTGCACCAGTTAAGTAGTCCTCGACTTACGACCGGTTGAGTAGTCCTCGACTTACGACCGGTTGGGGTCGCGGCATTAAAAAGGTTGAGAACCACTGTTTTAGAGAGAGGATCAACAGTACAGGTAGGCCTCGACTGAGGGCCACAGCTGAGCCCAAAATTTTTGTTGCTAAGTGAGACATTTGTTAAGTGAGTTTTGCCCCATTTTACGACCTTTCTTGCCAGAGATGTTAAGTGGATCACTGCAGTTGTTAAGTTAATGACATGGTTGTTAAGTGAATCTGGCTTCCCCCATTGACTTGGCTTGACAGAGGTTCACAGAAATAACTCTGGGACACTGCCACCATCATAAAAATGAGCCAGTTGCCAGCTGTCTGAATTTTGATCATGTGACTATGAGGATGTGGCAGTGGTTGTAAGTGTGAAAAATAAGTCACTTTTTTCAATGGCATTGTATCTTTGAATGGTTACTAAATGAACTTGTGAGTCAAGGACTACCTGTGCAATTATATAAATGCCATACTTTAAGCATTGTTTTGCATATCGTTTTTATTTTATTTAAGTGCTATAGCTAAAGGGAGGCACATATGCACACTTTCACTGATATTTCAAGAACAAAGAGAAGGGAAATTTGTCCAGAGGAGGCACTAATTCCCTCACTTCCAGAAAAAAGTAAATCATAGTGGTCAAGTCTTCGTGGTTTTCTAACGGCAACATGGAATGCACCAGAGTTTAAAACTAAAATTAGGTGTCAGCAGTGGTGCTAGTTGTGCTGTAAAAATGGTCACAGCTGTTCTGGGCCATGGCTTGCAGAAATTGGCATGAAAGCCAAATATTCAGACAATGGATTCAGTGATTATGGACCAGTTCTATTAAGCAGCCCTGTGGGTATGTTGATCGGAATAAAGTAGCACTCTCAGGCTCACCACTCAATGAATAATAGTTGTATATCCCGGATATTTAATAGGTATACTATTTCTTAATCAGGAACATCACAGCCTAGTGTGATGAAGAAGAATATAGGACTGATATTAAAGGCGAGAATAATTGGCTCCTTTCTTATTTCATTATATATCAATTGGTGAGAATAGTAGTCACCTTCAGTAATTTATTTATTTATTTATTTATGAGACTTATATACCGCTTTAAGTGCAAGCACTCTCTAAGCGGTGTACACCAGTAACCAATGTATATATATATTTACATTTCCCCCACAATCTGGGTCCTCATTTTACCTACCCTGGAAGGATGGAAGGCTGAGTCAACCTTGAGCCGGTGAGATTTGAACCGCTGACCTGCTGAACGCAGTCAGCTAAAGTGGCCTGCAGTACTGCACTCTAACTGCTGCGCCACCTCGGCTCATCATGTAATGACATGTAATGATTGAGTTGCTTTGCTGCTTCTTTCATATGAATATGCAGTCCAGACTGCAGTTAACCATACCTTTCCTCTATGCTTAGCTTACTTGGAAGCTATTTATCAATGTTCCCTGGTTGGATGTAGTTGGATGTAATACATTGTTTAACTCCATAAAGTTTGTTCGTATTTCACTTTACTAAGCTAGATTTGATTGTCTGAATGCAACCTATGTATTGGGCCCAGGGCCCAGACCAGCAACTCTCATACACAGGGTAAGAGTAAAGAATTTTTAGCCCTGGAGCCTTCAAGGTCCTTTATGAGATGAGATTTCAAAAAGGAACATAGAACTGTGTTATTAAAACTGAGATGTTTCTTGTGATTTAATGATTGGGTAGTAAAAGCAAAAGAATATCATTTGCACTTGAACACGCAAGGGGATTTGGCTGATATTAATGTTTTACTATCTTTCTTTAAAGAAATACAAATACACAAGACACATTTTTATAAGGAGCCTTTCAAAGGACCTAAATATATGATTGCTGACATTTTGCCTCTAAGGACCGTTTCGAACGTATTATCTCGAGAACATTGCTCCAATCTGACTGTTTAAAATATAATAAGTTGGGAAAACTCCCTTCAATCTGTTTTCAATTGAAGATCATGGCACTTTCATCCAACAATTTGAGAGATAACTTTTAATTACAATAATATGAACCACATGGGCAGTTGATTGATGCAAACCTGATGTGTTCTCTTACTTTATTAATCTTTTTAATTAGAGTCAAAAGAATGTTTTATCTGCCGGGAAGGAGAGGAGATGGGTCGTGACGGTCTGCTGCACTTCTGTGACTGCAAAAATCTCTTTGCTCACCAGAAATGTCTTTTAACTTGGATACAAAAGGTAAGAGAACTGATGTAGAAACTGGGCTTCCAATTTTGCAGTCTTCAGTCTCATACTCTTTCGGTGACACATCTGTGTGTCACCATTGTATTATGGATAAAAGTGAAGTAAGATTTCATTGGTGTTTTTTTTTTTTTTTTTGCAATTGTATTGGGTGGGTATGGTTTTCAGAAACCTTGAAAGGGCAAAATTCTCACAGTCATCTACTACAATCTATTATGATGAAAAACATGGCCAAACATTGTCAGCCTTTTTGTACTTATATCCTGATGTTCTATGCAAGTATGAAATCATGTGGTTTGCCCAACTTATTTTAACTTTAGTGTATTGTGTGAATGCAGCCAATACATAATTTTTTTCTAAATTGCCATCAGATTTGATTGAGTGAGACATACTATCAGCAACTAGTATTTTCATTGATTTAGTCCAAAAATTTGTGAGGCAGCTAAATCTCACAATCTCTTTGTTCACATATGAAATTGTTACTTTGGGGAGGGATTCCTGCTACCATGCAAAACCATGTTGTAATGTCTGCAACCTGAAAAGTGTTGAACAGTATATATTTTAGAGCAAAGTTTTTTTTTCTAATTCTCAAGGTTTAAATATTGGTACAAATAAATGTTTATTTTTTTAGATGGCCGTTAAACATCAATGCTTTCAAAGTAACACCAAAATAACCAAATGTGTACCATGACATCACAATACAAGCTCCATCCTTTTGTTCATGTCCCATGATATTTTACTCGAGAATGTAAGGGGAAGGAGTATGTGTCAACATATTGCCATACATTTCATCACTTTACACATATTACACACATTTTATCACTTGGCCCTAGTGGACCCCATGGATCTGTGAAGGACCTAATAAGGCTGCACTTATATTTACAAGCTATCTTGAATAAATTATTAATACTTAGCTTCTCAATTCTAAAATTTTGAAATGTTATGAAATTCAGTAACAAGATAAAACCTGGGAATGTTCTGCATATGCAGTATTGTATAAATATAGGTCATAAACATAGATTTGCTATATGTAACAAATGCACATTTATTTTGTAAAAATCCTTTTCAACACATTCGTACGGGTGCATGGAGTTTAAAGCAAAGTGTAAACAATCTTAAATATATTTAAGAAATCCTTTCTAAAAATAATTTGGAATTGAAACCCCCAACTTGAAGTGTAACTTTCGCATAGGAAAGATTTAATCATGAAATGAATAGGACCTAATAAGCAGTGTTTTTTTAAATATATATGCACTGTATTGTGAAGACATGGGGAATCAATCCATGCTAAACAATAAATATAGGTTAGGGGGCACGTGCTGATAATCTGTGTGTGGGATGGAGGCAGAATCTGCAATCAAAGAAAGAATAATGTAATTAAAATTCACACATAGTTCTGTTGTTGGGATGATGACCTGGAGAAGTGAATCAGAAATATGGGTCTTCAAAGTGATGACTGGTCAAATACATTCTTTTCAAAAACTGAATGAGGTTCACGTCTATCAAAAGGTTGCATGGTGTATAGAATAGGAAAACAAAATGCTTTTTCAGACTTCCTTAGAACTGTGTACTCTATAATAATTACAGTCATAATGTGTCTAACCAGCTCACCACCTACTTTCGCTCTCTTTTGTATGTCTGTGTTGGTAGAAATCTCTATAAGTAATTATGTATTTACATGCCTTTGTATGCACTTATACAGGTTTGATAATATCTGGCTATAATGAAGACTAATTAGAAATGAAAACACTGGAAGTTGCTTAATGAGATTTTTAAAGTTTGCAAACATTCAATAAATTGCAAACAGACCAAAAAAAAAAAAAAAAGAATATGGGAAGGCCATTTTTTTAAAAAATAATAAACATATTTTTAAAATATTAGACATCCTGTGGGTCCTGCGCTACATTTATTATTTGTTTACAATTTGCCAAAATTTAAACTAGTACTGATTTAATCTGGCATCCCCTTTAATGTATGGGGTAAAATTCTATTGGGAACTAAATGGTTAATATAAAACATAGCAGTTTTTTTTTTAACTAGCAGAGTTTTGTACGAATAATTCCTGAGCATTTATCACTTATTTCCACAAAAGTTGTCTTCTGGGGTGGCTCAAAAGCCCCCCCCCCAAAAAAAGAAATGTTAATTCAACTCTAAAGTCTACCGTTTAGGAACTTCATGAAATAAAATCTAAATATACTATTGTTTTTGTTTCAAAAATATAACATGTGGGAAACAGCTTTCCAGCCCAGAAATGCACATTGTGCCCTCTGAATGACCCCCTGGTAGAGACACTCTAGTAATTCAACCAATGGATCTCCCCTCATGTTTTCATCTGGAAATATTGAAGTGATCAGAAGGATTGTTTTTGCCCTGTTGTAATAACAGATCTAGGTTACTCACAGGCCATCACCACAACAATAGCCTAGGTTAAAATGGGTAATGTGGTTTGTGGTTGAGTATATTATAGGTATCCAGTCATTGTTTTTACCTGCTGTGTTAACTAGGCTCCCAGTTAAGTATAATGTGGATTATTTGTTAGCGCAGAATTGTTAGGTGGACATTCTCGGTTTTGTTCTTTTTAGTTGGAAGATCAGTATGTTGTGTGAATGGAGAAACAGAAAAACTTACTCAGAAATGGCATGCATTTTTTAGAAGTGTAAAGCAAAAGGTTGAGATTGTAATTTTTTTCTGTATTCTACTGAACTGAAAAAAGTCAGATGTCATTACTTTTTTTCCCTTTAGTTCTGCACTTCTGTTTTTCTTAACTTTTTAAATTTCTCTTTCTATTTTCATTTTATCTTAACTAAACCTTAATAAAACTTTAAAAAGAAAAGGATTTTTTTAAAAAAATGACAAAATGAGGTTCGCAAGGGTCCACAAGTGGTTTTTGTCCCCTAAGACCTGTGCAGGATTTCTTGCTGTTTGTACTGGAGAAGCCCCATCTTGAGTTTATAGATCCAATGTACATATTCCACATGAAGATTTCTCCCTTCATAATTCTGAACAAATGTTTAAATATTAGGCCAGAGTAAATGCTATGCTGGAGACTAAGAGAGTAGCACAGCTAAGGAAAAGGGGGGGGGGAATGGTGGACTGCGTTGTTTGGCGACCCCCGTGAAATGGTCGTTCGACCCCAAATGGGGTCCCGACCCACAGGTTGAGAACCACTGCTCTAAAAGGAGATCAATCCATGTGAAATAATTATACCAATTTAGACAGTTTGGGCATCCGGTTTAGGCATCTGTCAAAACTACCCCATCCCATGTTAATGGGATTGACTGGTAGGTGTTTCTCCATATCTGCTGGTTGGTGGTGGGTTGGGAAGACTACAAAGCCAGAGGAATACACCAGTTTCTGGTGTTGATGTACTCCATACATCAGAAATAAAGATATCTTTATTTGTCAACTCTGTATCCTTGCATCACTGGGCCTAGCAAATGTTACACTGGTATAAAATTTTACCAGTTTAAAGACAGATAGGGCTTTAACATGGCCATAAGGAAGGCTTTTTTCCTGATTAGGGCCTATATTAATTTGTAAATAACCCTTACAGTCTACCAAATGTCAGCCAAGCTACTTTTATTATGGGTATTAGCAAGAGGTATATAGTATGCCTAATTGTTCAATACTGAGCAGCGTTTGTTGTATTTGCAAGTTTCCCAGAGGAGCTTGCTGGCTATTATAGGTAAGGTGACCAACTGTCCTCCTTTTGGAAGGACAGTCCTCCTTTTTTGAGTTCTGTCCTTCCTTGAAAAGTGTCCTCCTAAATGTCCTCCTTTTCCATATACCGTCCTCCTTTTGGGAGGACAGTCCTCCTTTTGTGAGTTCTGTCCTCTCTCGAAAATGTCCTCCTAAATGTCCTCTTTTTGACGACTAATCTGCAGGGCTTTTGTTTCCTCATAGAACGCTCAGAAGGCGTTCCGGGACCTTTTTTTAAATTTTTTTTCAACTTTTGCATCTACTCCCCCTATTGGCTTTCGAAAGCCAATAGGAATTGCTGCTGAGCGCGCCAAAACACCCGGGCGGCAAACTTTGCACGTGCAAGTTGCAGGAACTTGCACCCCTCACTGCTACCCAACTACACGATCTCCTACTTCTTAGTTCCAAAGATAGCTGGAGGAGACTGGAGCGGTAAGTTTCACTTGATCTTCCCTGTTCGGTTCTATGCGGGGATACACAGAGTAGGCAGTGGTGCTGGGGGGCGGCTGGGGGGGTGGTGGCTGCAGGACCAGAGCCGGCACGGCTGGTGCTTTGCAAGCCGCGGGGCCGGCTCTACGGGGATGGGCAGGGGGGGCGGTGGTGCTGGGGGGCGGCTGCAGGGCCGGAGCTGGCGCGGCTGGTGCTTTGCGAGCCGTAGGGCCGGCTCTCCACGGCAGGGCAGCAGTGCTGGCGGGGCGGCTGTGGGCGGGGGTGCGCCGGGCAGTTGACCTTCCATGGGCTGCACCAGCTGGTGGTCTACACAGTGCTGACCTGCGCTGCCACCACCTCACCCTGCGCATCTACATGGCCATCCTGGAGCGCCTGGCTCACAACACCTGCCTCCGCCGCCCACCCCGCGCAGTCCAGCCGTGTAGATTTTTGGACGTGAGAAATCGAGATTGAATATTGATACTCTAGCTGCAGCACTTGCCGTAAAATTCAATATGAAGGATATTTCTTTTTTTCTTTTTTTTTTTTATTGAAAGTTTTATAAATTTTACAAAAAGACAAAAACAATACAAAACAAAAGACAACATATACAAAAAAAACCTAAACATTACATATATATAAAAAAAAAAACCCATCCCCCACCCCTCACAAAAACCCTCCCTTCCCCCCCCTGAGCTTCCCAGAGCAGAATATAGGCTTAATTAAAAATTAAGAAATAAAAATAAAAAATTAAATTAAAAAATTTATATTTATATATATATATATAAAAATATCTATATATATATATAAAAATAAAACTTATAAAAAAGCTATGTAATATTTTTGTATACCCAATCTAAATTGTATAA